GGGAAATGAGAATTGAGGTTTTTTTTTATAAAAAATAAGATAGTCTGCAAAAGGAGGAAATTGAATTCAACAAGAAAAAAAAGAAAAACAATAAATTCAAAAGGAATAAAACTCTGATAAGAGAAAAAAGATCAAGACAAATGATGAAGGCCAAGAGATAACTGTTTTTTTTTTTTTTTTTGCAAGTCTCAAGCAAATGTGAATGTGAAAGAGTGATAATAAAAAGGGAGAGATGCAGAGAAAGTGCGAGTGCATTGGAGTCAATAAGAGGCTAACACAGTTTGGTTGCCATGGAGACACAAAAGGAATGAAATACATTTTATGTTAGGCTTACTCCACCCCCCATGAAAATCAAAACCAAAAAGCCTGTCCAAAATGGGTTTTCTGTGCATGGCCACACAGCTGAAATATTTGCCAAAGCTTTGAAAAGCAATTTGATATGAAAATGGAGCAGGGAAATGGAACAGAGTGTAGATAAATAAATAATAATGTCAGGAAGAAAAAAAAACCAAATTGCTGTTTTTTTAAACATGCAGTTTTATCACAGAGCACCAGAGTGCTGTTTATCTGCAGCGCATGCAGAATACACGCATGTAATCACATGCACTCCATTGCCAAAGTCTGTCTCTCTTTCTGCTCTTTCTCTTCAACTCTTGAGAGATGTTGCTATGGAAACTGGTTACAATTGATAAGTTTGAAACATGAGTGAGCCACAGACAAGCTGCTGGTACACACACACACACACACACACACACACACACACCGACTGAGACAGCTACACATGTATGGAAATAGTTCTCTTTTTGAAGAGCTGCTTTTCAAATCACCAAGGTTTTCCATCCAAAGGAAATGAAATGTAGTAGAATCAGCAATTTAACCCTTTCTTGATACAGCTTAAGATGCCTTTTATCAATGATGAATCAACGGCAAATTATATAATTCGGTCTGATGTCTAGAAAACCTCTAGGTGCTGTTGAATGCATCCCTAAAATTGGAAGAGTCATTTCAACAATATGATGAAAAGACTGACAGAACATTAAGAAGGACAGAGGGAGACATGAATTATGCATCGGTGCAAATCTCAGTACGGTGAACCTTATCAGAAGTTTAAAGTTAGGGGAGAAGAACATTAAATTAGAACTGTGGAGTGAGAACTAGGCAAGAATGATAGATGAGTTGAGAGAACAAAGATTGGCCTTTGGACATCAGACAAAATGTCACCCGAGATATGTTCAGCACAAATGAAACTGGATCTATTAAATGCAAAGGTTTAATTAATGGGATTAATAACATTACTGAGTACATAAAAACATATACCTGATTTTTCATAACTCAGATTTTTCTAAATGAATTATTATGTGGAAAAGGGGGAGTGTGAGAGACATGAAATGTTTATATAAATATATATATGTTTATATTATATAAATGTTCATATTGGGATCTTGTCTGAGAGCCCAATCACCTTTGTAAGACTGGAAGAACTGGTTGATGGAATCAGTCTGACCAGTGGTTTCCGAAGACTTGGGACCTTGCTTGCAAATTAACATTTGACCCGCTACCCTCCTTCCTCTGAGCACCTCATCTATTCTCTCTCTCTCTCTCTCTCTCTCTCTCTCTCTCTCTCTCTCAATCAGCAACACTTAAAACTCACACAAGAAATATATGGTTTTAATGTGAATGTGATTATTTTTAATGATTGTTTAGTATCATTTTAAAGGTCTCAGGGTGACTGGTATAGATGTCTCATTCCCAAAGAAGTAAAGAAAGGCAATACAGTTCTTAAGAATATAGAAATATCTTGCACACATAATAATAAGGGTGTATCCTAGAGTTAACACCTTCTGACCATCTGTCTGACTGCAAATTACCACTTGGGAATAGACCACAGTAACTTTACACTGTGAAAGGAGGTCTGGATATATAATGAAATAGAAAGGAGAGTTCAGGGCTGCTTTTTCTGTATCAGATCAGTCCGTGCGTCCTGTGCCATCGAGGCTCAGCATGTATGTTTGGTAAAGTTCTTTGTTGGTTTGCAATTATTATTTTTCAATTGATTATGGAATTGTAATAATACATTTACCTGACATAATAAATTGTTATATTTGATTATTCAAACAGACTTTGACTTTATTTTCATTACAGTTAAAAGGAATAGTCAACTAACTAACGTGTAGCATATAATAACATGTTATATTAATGTGAAAAAAGATGAACTTTGAATTTGGGAAGTACAGACTTTTAGGTAGGCCTATCCATTCCCAAACACGCACTCACACGTACCACGTCCGCTTTCCACAGATGATTTATGTACAACACATACGCTGTAAGTGTGAAATAGTGTTTAATTCTGCTGAGAACTGTCTGCTTCCCAACGCCATCCCAGCCATGATTAGCATTCATACTGGACGTGCTACTGTGAAATACCACACAGGACCTCACCACACAGGTGTTGAACTGTGTTAAACGCCGTTGAGAACATAACGAAAGCATCGTGTTCTGTATACATAAAACAATACCGCATAGACAAGGGCAAACTATTGCCGCTTAAAAATGCAAAGCACACCCATAATCATCGAAGGTAAACCACACACAGTCTACATACACAGACACGCACATGAATATTTCCTTCAATGATCAGCGGTGCACCTTAGGGAAAAAAACGGGAGTCATGGCAACAAGAGCAGGCATCTGCAAGCGTTACTGTAGCAATCAGAGAGGAAAGGCAGCCAGGGGGTTGGCGTGAGAGGTGTCATTATAGACTGAGTGATTTGGAGGGGGTGTGGGGGGCGCGAGAAGCAGGAAACGATTAAAATATTCAAGCAATAACGCAGCCAGTAGAAATTACCTCGCTTTCTGCTTCAGAACTTTAGAAGTTTAAACCTCTTGCACGGATTGAATTCAGAACAGGAAAGGTGAAGGAATCCTTGTGGCTACAACATGTAGGCTGTCTGAAAGTTCTAAATGCTGGAGGTTTTAGAACAAAAAAATATTTTATATATAAAATACACACACACACACACACACACGCACGCACGCGGCACGGGCAAAAATACACTGTTTGAATTTAAATGGGCAAATGCGTGAGAGTCTATGCTTGGATCATTAGTGATATATTTGACAACAGTTCTTCAAACCCTAAGTGATGGAATGTTAGCTTTTTATTTCTTAAACCATTTATGAAGACTCAGCATTGCCATATTGCAGGATGACAATGTAGAGATTCATCAGGCTCAAATTGAAATGAAGAATAATTTTACATAAATTGGCACCGAAAGTCATTGAGATGGAGTGTTGACATTGTCAATACAAGATATTGACCAAAAAATGATGAACCTTTCGATGGAAATGACATCAAAACATTTAGCTATATTTCCATCAAGAGGTGCAGCAATTTTTGGTAAATATGTTGTGTTGACAATGCAAGAGTCAAGCACTCTGTAAAAAGAAAAACATAATGCACATTTAACTTTTCAACAAATTTCCCCTCTGATAGGATTCCTTTAAACTGCTCTGATTAAACCGGATGTAATCCATTTCCAGTAAAATGCAGGGTGTTATTCTGTAGTTTAGAACTATAATACTGTATATGAATATGGCATCTTCTTTAAATGGTGTAAGAGGCTTTTAGAATTATCTTGGTTTTCTGCTTTCATTGTTATGGCAGTGATGGATAAAAGCAAGTTATCTTAGTTGTGTTGTAGTAGCTGCATCTTGTCAGGGTTCTGTCCTCTTTGTTTGGTTTATGTTTGGTGACAGAGCTCTGACATTCTCGGTTTATCATGTGTTGGTGTTTAGTCTGGTTTGTTGTGAGCACATGGCTTGTCTTGTATTCCTTGTGCAGTTTCCACAGCAATGTTTCGTAAGGGATACAAAGCTCAACATGTGTTCTAGCTGGAAAAATGTCGCTTAAAGGGACACTAATGTATATACCTTCCTTTCTAGCCATCTATTTTGCACCTTGACTCTGATGGACATACATTATCAGCACTTATGTGCTTCTCTACACCCACTCAGCCTGCAGTGCCTGTGCCTGAACGGAAACGGGCGCGCGCACACACACACACACACACACACACACACACACACACACACACACACACACGATAGTATGTTAGCGCCATCTGGTGGAAAGTATAATTAACAACTGTTCTGTGTCCTGTCGTTGTTGTTTTTTTTAATTCAGTCAGCGTGCAGCTTTTTGACCCTTGAAAGATGACTAATATTTTAAAAAGCAATATTCAAATTGAAGTAATGTTCTGTTATATAGTCAATTAATGATTAATACCTGACTTAGGCCTATACCTCATCACACCACATTGCACAAATAGTCTAGTGTTTGTCCTATTACCTAGCATAGCCAAGTGAAAACCATTAGATAACTATTATCTAATAAACAATTTTAGCATGAAAAGTAGATAGCTAAATGTCTGAATCCACTGTCTATAAAATGTTGATTTTAGCCTGTCCTGTGTCAGAAGTCTTGACCTTACTATATCAAACAGTTAATGTAATTTTCACTAAATCGATTAAATTGATATTGGATTAATTGTTAATTATGATTTTTTTTTTAAATTATTAGCTGCTTTATTACCAAAACTCTTATGCTTTGTATCACATATTGTGTGCAATGGTATATAGATAATATTCAATTACAAAAAAAAATGTAACAACTCTTAGAAATATGAAACCCAAGAAATAACATTTTCTGGATCCTTTTTCACATGAAGGTTAATAATATAGGCCTTCAATGTTTCTAGACAAATTGTATTGACAGCGTTGTAATAAATAAATAAATAAGTAAATACAATTGAAAGGTTATAATTATTAGGCTATATTATATGAATATTAGGCTATATTATGTGTTTGTTGTCGTCGATTTGATTTCGATTATTTAGTGTTTATAGTTTTACAATGTATATTCCAGTTTCTAGCTAAACAAATAATTGGAGAAAACAAAACTCTTATATTAGCTTTGAACTACGTCATTTCCGTTTTATGGAGAAAGTGCGACTTGACGGTAAAAGGTGATGTGAGACAGTGAGAGTTAAAAGACTTAAAAGCGCGTGCGCCTTTTCATTTACACAATATTACAGACCAATCTCCAGTAGCCTAAACCAGTAACAGGTTAAAAACATTGTATAATGATGTACTCCCACAATGCACCGCATCGTGTCAACTGACAGTGCACACTGACCTTTTTTCACGATCTAGGGAAGCCTGAGCATTTATATCAAGCGAATAATTAAGGAGTTTTGTCGTGCTCGTGATCATCATGAGCGCCATGAGGACCATGTTGGCCTCGATCGGGCTGGTCGGGGTTGTCGGTGTCGGCTACGGAATGTGGGCCATGATTTCACCTGGAGAGGAGAGGAAAAGGGAAATGCTGAAGGTACTGAAACATTGCAGTTTAATAAATAAGAAACACAAACCTATAAAAATGCGACTAGAAAGGTGCCTCATGTAATTGTTTGTCAACATAAGTAGTGTGGTCGTACAGGATACCTTATTAACGAATTAATTTAAGCAGGGCCAAGTTTTATTTCACTCTGATCGATGATATTTACTCTAGTCCATTTTTACGCCTCCATGTTACTATCAAAACAATGAGTAAGCTGCAAAAATTCCTGATAAGTACCTTGATCCATCTCTCCCTCAATTTTTCCAGAATCTGCCCGAGGCCAACCCCCTCCGAATGGAGGAGAGCAGGAGGAGAAATGCCCTCATGCTCCAGGTGCTGAAAGAGGCTGCAGAGACCAATGAAAACATTGCACGTGGATTTGGAGGCCAGAAATGATGGAATGAAACTTCACATATCAGACTTTAACATGCTACCGGGATTATGTACATACATGGGAGGAAAAGTATAATGCTACAGTGATTTATTTAAATAAATTATCTGCAAATGCTCCATGTCATAGGCTATGACGTTGGTTATTATATGATGGACATGGTCGTGAATGGCACTGACAGATTTGTTTTGCTTTTGTTTTCCTTCCTGGATAAATAATCTTAAAATAGTTGGTGTTTTGGACCATAAGTTCCAAAAACAACTTAAGTTGGCATGACCTGCTATTTACTGGTTTTGTGGCTTGTCCAAAAACCTGGATTATCCAACAGGGTTAGTGTTTTACAAGTAAAATTGTTTAATGTATTGTAATGTAAACCCTTTACTGTAAATCTCAATCGTGAACAAGTTCAGTGAATAGTGTTTCTAGTTTCTATTACGCTCTGTAATTGTGCTTGCGTAATATCTGCACAGCAATGACTTGCACGAGTGCATAACACACACAGCGCTAACACTAAACGCTTCCGGTTTTTAAGGTCATTGAAAACACGACATTTTTCACAATGCGTCCAAATTCTTGACAGAGTTCGTGCTGGAGGATAAGTCTATGTATCAATATTAAAAATGTTAGGAAGTTTTTTGGAAATTAGAACGCGTCATTGTTTATAAACAGCTGAAAACAGTACAAAAGGAGCTTTGACGCGTTCTCCAGAACATGTCAAATCCAACGCCACTACCGGCGAAGTCGAGTCAAGTCGACTGCTGGAGCTGTCGAATCCTCTCGGGCGGTGGGCTGCTGGCTGCAGGCGGATATGTGTACATGCAAGCGCAGAAATTAAAGCATTTAAGTGGACCCACATCTATGGGCAGAGTGGCTCAAATCATGTTCGCAGCAGGTGAGATCATTAATGCACTCTCTGTTATCAATTATGAAATCAGATCTGACTTTGAGACATTTTCTCTCCAGGTTTGGCTTCTTGGGGCCTCGTGGTGATCGCTGATCCAGTGGGAAAGAAAACAAGAAAAGAATAGCATTGCACTTTCTGCTCCTACAATGACAAGACTTTTAGATTAGAATGAATCACCAAAGCCACATCTCATGATGCTACAAAGTTCAAATTTTACGCCAATGTACATTCAAACCGTGAAAATTAAATGAATCATATTGCATTAAATGTTTTTTTTTATTTGCAACAAACCATCTTTCTTCCACTATACTAGTACAAAATATTGTTGTAGCATATAAAGTGCACAGATTACTTTTATGACTCAGTTGGCTTTTACATTACAATTTTCTTTTAAAAAAAAAAAATCTATTACTGATAAAGCAAAGAAAACTGCCCAGGAATGCAGTGAACATTTATAGTCGTTTTGAAGAGAAATTTATGAGTTGGCATTTGGTCCTTTCTTTTTGCCAAATGTTGGGACAACATTGACAAAGCGCCGGTTGTACTGAATTCTTCTTTTTGCCCTGCCGGTCTTTTTCTTTTTCTTTTCCTGCTTGTCCACCTGAAAGGATCAATATCGGTGCAATAAGTCAATAAACAAGTAAATACTCACTATTAGGATTTTCATAATATTATGTATATGTATATTGTTGAAAATGGCTGCATCCCAATTTGCATCCTATTCATCCATTCTCAAAATTAGAATAAGTGTGTCCATAATCATAGTATGTTGAAATGAAGCTTGTGGGGTAAGGTTTTAAGCGAACAAAATGATTGAAGAAATTCTTAATTGTGAACTTTTAAATGCAGCATTATTCAAAAAGGCAAGTAGTCTCTCCATATGAAAGACCCTATACTCTCATATCAACATGCTACTTCTCTCACTTGTACAGTAGGGAGACTTGTTGAATACAGCAAATTAAATGAATTGAAATGTGAAGTGTGTGTGTATATAAAGACGTTAAAGCGATAGTTCACCCAAAAATGAGAATTCTGTCATCATTTACTCCCCCTCAAGTTGTTGATAGATCCCTTTGACTTCCACAGTAGGAAAAATAAATACTATGGAAGTCAATGGGGTCCATCATCTGTTTGGTTACTGACGATGACATTTTAAAGATATATTTTGTGTGTGTGTGTGTTCAGCAGAAGAAATACAGGTTCGGAACAACTTAAGGGTGAGTAAATAATGACAGAATTTTCATTTTTGGGTGAACTATCCCTTTATGACTGACAGAACAGTTTACGGTGACAGGATTCACATTTGCGGTATAGGGAATAGCAGAGCCATGTATAAGTAGGGATACAAATACATGTAGACTTACCTTGGGAGTTTGTCCTCTGACCTTTCCTGCTCTAGCCAGGGAACCATGGACTTTGCCTTTGGGTTGGGAGAGGTTCAATTTATGAAAAAATAGGTGAATATAAAGAGGCAAATACCATTTACTCGTCATAAAGGAATATTTATAATTTCTTTGGTCTATTGTCAGCACAAATGATGTTTTAAAACAAAATGGTAACAGAGGGTAATAAAGTCATAGGGGTTTGATCCTTACCTCCTAACAGCCTCGAGGAGACCTCAAGAGTGTTGAACTCCTCAATACCAGACTGACAAACCAGTGTCTCATCCTGAAGGGGAATCCCGCAGTGTGAAATGATCTGATCATCACAGGCCAGACCTTCCAAAGCTTCAATCTGGGCCTGAGAAAACAAGTACAGTTCGTGAAATGCAATTTCCGATTCAAGCTTCTCTAAATAAACTGTATAAAACGCGTACTGTAAGATAAAGTACCTTGATATGGGCAACAGTCTCTGACCCATTCAGATGAACAGAGTGCAAAGTCTGGGCACAAACAAACAACTGCATGGTGTCAAGTCTTAGTAACAGAGAATAAAAATGACATTAGCTTGACAGAATTGTTACAAATGGCACAATATCATCACCACTATTACTTAAATATTAAAAGTAAAGACAAGTACTACTAACATGAATCGATATAGGTGACTACGAGCTCTAAACACAACATCAAAAAGTCAGAAGTGTTTACACGATTCTAGAAAGTGCAATGCGCCTGCGCATTTTATCAAAGCCACTTAAAAGTCCCATGGACAGCATTTTCATCACAATTTTATTATAATGTTGAGTTTTTATTTACTGGTACAAGAAGTAAGAATAACATGTAATAAATATAGATTTTATTCAAGTGCTTAAAAATTAATATTTTTCTGATGTCAATAAAGCTTTTAATTGAGACTCATGACGTAAGATTTTGCTGTCCTTCCTCTCTCTCAGAAAAGAGAAATGTCCGCTTCCGTCAGAAGCATGTCTTTGACAGTCTGCCGAGTGGCTTACAGAGCCTTTTATCCAGCCACGCGTGCATTGTATTGTGGAGCTTGCTTAAGAGTTAGTATTACGATCAGTTTTACCTTATAATTTATCCTTGTAGTTTAATAATCCGGTGCATTGAATGTCACAATGTTAATTTGCACAGGGATGATTTGTTCTTGAAATGTTGCGAGTGGTTCTGTGCAATAACAACCAACAATTTTAGCTTAATATTGAAATAGATGAGTGCTTTAACAAGACTGCTTTCATTTTAGACACAAAACAGCCCTGCTGAAGGATCAGGGGGCATCATTGAATCCACAGAAGAGTTCAAGTTTGTGGAGAGACTTATTCCTCCTTCACGCATCCCAACTCCTCCTAGGCATGATGGTCCTGCTCCGTCAGGATGGACCCCACCACCAGGTAGATGCACTTTTATTGTAACCCTAGATGGGAAAATACATATGATCATACTGGTCTCTTAGCTATAAGGGGTAATCATATTGCACTTTTAATGAGTTGTTAGAAAAGTAGTTTGTAATATTTTCTTAATATATGTATTATTTGTTTATTATTTACTCAGATACTCCACCTTCACTGCCCTACATGATTCGTCGCTCCAGAATGCACAATGTTCCTGTTTACTCTGACATCAAGCATGGGAATCAGCAAAGCACTCTGCTCAGAAAGGTTGAGGGAGACATATGGGTGAGTATAATGAACAGGTGTGTTTAGAAGCACTATATGCAATAATATAATGGTCCAAGATTATTTTATTAACTTTACATCAATCATTTCCAGGCCCTGAATAAGGATGTTAAGGAATTCCTGCTGGGCCTTACGGGCAAAGAGCCTCCAACACAGGTCAATGAAGTAACCGGGACTATTAGAATTAAAGGGCAGTTTGATAAAGAGCTGAAGGACTGGCTTCTGAAGAAGGGATTTTAAATGCTGATGTGGTGAACAGTCACTGGAGTCTCAAAAGACACAGTTAATGAACTCAACTGCAATACAGAAAAGGCTGAGTGATAAGTTTGTCAGCTTGTTAACATTTTGTTACATGTTATCTCTGATGTTTATTAAAAGAAATAAATGTAAGGTATTCTCACAAAATCTGATTTGTAATACTTGTGTTAGAAATATATTTCTAATATAAAAAGTATGCATTAGCATTATGTATAAACAATAACAATATAATTTATTTTGGTCATCATAGACCATGATAATTTACAAAATAAACATGGAAAAAGGTGTAGGCTTAAGCCTATGCTTATTATGTCCCTTTTAACATAATTAGGAAGTGTCACGTTTCTCACCGGAGTTGATTTAAACACATTTTTTAAACATATTTTTACAAAAAGACATTTCCTAAAATGTACATACTTAACTAATAGCTTATAAATTTAAATTCCATATACACAAATTATTCATTTCGAGTTTTTTTTAACCATTTTTCGAGTTATTTGTTTACTAAATTATTAAAAAAATAATAATAATTACAAAGTGGACTACACATTCTTAATTCCTGTCACAATTATTTCAAGGGTTAACTCCTTTGGCATACATTTTTTTTTTTTTTTACATTAAATCTTCCCCTTATTTTTTAAAATGCTAGATTCCCCTTAGTTTACTGACTTTATGTCAAACCTCTTAATACAATTAGAAAGTAAATTATTACACACTTTATACATCCCCTGTGCAGTAAAAATGAAATCAACACATTTTAAAGCATGTAATTGACAAAAATACATTTGTTGGTTCAAATAGTAAACCTGATTTACAATCCTTTTTGCTCTCTTCTGTAACATATTTCCGATATATGTTTGTTATACATACTTTAGTTCAAATATTAAACATACAAGTATGAATACAGCAATACAACAATAGAAAAGAGAAAAGACGACAAAAATCTATCTGGCTGTCTGTCAATCTGCGCAAATATTGCGCAGCCTCGTCGTTTAGAGCAAAGGGAGGTATGCGTCATCATGTGGCGACGATCGACGTAATTCTAACGTGACGCGTCAGTATGAACGTATATTATAAACACGCGCTGACGAAAATATCCACTAATGTTTAAGTTTATTTGTGTGCGTGAGAAGACAAAGTGCGCATACACAGATTTTTCTCAGGTAAGATAAATACCCAAAAACTTTTTAGTAGTGCCGTTGATGTGTAATTGAATTAAAGATGACTTTACGTTTTAATTGCAGATTATAACTATCATACACATGCATTCTAACTCAGGAAATTAGCTTCTCATGGATCCCGTTGTTAGACGTAAAATCCCAGCGTGTGTTCGTTCATTACTCACTGATATTGCACCAAAGGAGGAAGAACACATAAGCGACTGGCCAGAAGCAGACTCTGACTCGATTACCACCAAAGATGGGATTGCACTTCCCAAAAGAGGGACTTCTGAACCTCTCCTGAAACCTGCTAATGGCACAAAGGACGGAACTACTGACGGAAATGCATCATTAGTCAAGCCATGTGGGCTTTGCTTATCCAAACCGTCCTGTTACACTTGCCCAAGGTGTAACATCCTGTATTGCGGACTGGCTTGTTACAGGAGCCAGAATCACTCCTCATGCTCAGAGGAGTTTTACAAAGAGTCTGTGCTTCAGGAGCTCAAATCACAAGGTGCCACAGATGAAGAGGGGAAAAGGAAAATGCATGAAATTCTGTCACGTCTCAGACAGAGTGCAGAGAGTGAGGGAGGGATGGAGAATTTATTAAGGAACTTGGGAGATGATGAAAATAGTGTGACTGAACAAGACGCACATGCTTTGGAGCTGCTTTCTAGGTTGGCAGAGATTCAATCTGGTGGCGAAGAAAAAACTCACGAGGTGCAGGAAATACTAGCAAAACTCCAAGATATTGAACACAGGACTGATGAAGAGGAAGCTGATTTAGCTGAAAAGTTAACCGGGTTGGATATCGACTTACTTTCAGAGGAAGAGCTCTGGTCGTTGTTGTCAGCCCAGGAAAAGGAGAAATTTGAGAGTCTAGTGAAAGAAGGTGGCATCGGTGGGCTGGTTGTCCTGTGGAGCCCCTGGTGGGAACGGCATGAAAAGGACACTAAAGCACTTATAGAGGAACTTCAGTCTGAGAGGCACGATGTGAATGAGAAAAAAGAGGAAAAAAACAAGCAAGTCAGTCACAGTAAAGTACATTCAGACAAAACACTAAGATGCTCTATCCCTCCAATAAGTGCCAAAATTCCCCCTCTTCACACGCTATCGTCAAAGCCATCTCCTCTAGTGCGGTTCAACCTGATCAATGCTCTTTACGGTTACACCTTCTCCCTGCGTCTCTACAATGGAGACTTCTCAGAGATTCTGCTAGAGTTTTGTCAGGCGGTGCTTGCCATCTCTGAGGGTCTGGGTGGCGGACGGGTCTTCAACTCTGTCCCAGACGCGTTTGACGCCGGGATAAGGGCAGTATCTGCAGGAGGATACTTTGATTCCGAGGACCCTTTAGCTTCCCTTCGAGCTGTGGAAGCGGTGGCTCATATTCTGACTGGAGAGAGCAGACAGGACACTGAGGGATATGCGCTGTCCGCTCTGTCCCAGCTGCGCACAGCTTTGAGCGAGGCAAAGGCTTCCGTTCCGAAGGACGACGAGCGGACGAGGCGGCTGTTTTTTCAAGCTGGAAAGAAGTGCCAGTTTTTCCAGTCTTGGGTGAAAGAGAATCCCAGAGCTTTGAGGAGTCTGGCAGGATGTGTGTGGACGGACTATGAGAGAAGGGAGGCGGAGAGGACGACATTAGAGGGAGAGAGGAAACTCTTAGAAGAGGGACGGGAAAAAAGTAGAGGCAAAGGTGCGTTGATAGAAGAAATTGAGTGAGATTGTGATTATTACTATATATTAGTAATAATAAGGCAATTGTTTTTTTGAAAGCATTTGTGTGAAATGCAATTTAAAGAATTAAAAAATTGTGGCTGTTGACTATCCTTAAATGTAATTTATGCTTTAAGAATCAAAAGGCACTGAGCACTGATATTAAAATGCTTTTTAATAATTATATAATACAACATATTTTTCATATTTAAAAAACAAATAAACATTTGAATGAATGGGCAGACATGTTATGATGCAAACAAAACAATATATATATTATCTTGGCTCAGTGGTTATCTTGGCCCAGTATTATCTCTGGTTGACCTCCACCTTTGCACCTAAATAGTTGCACGCAACAATCTTTTGATCAGTCCGCATTAATAAATGTACGGGATTATTCTGTAGGGCACACGTCTGCAGTAGGTGTCCCATGCCAGTCCGTACTTGGCTCTGCATTGCTTCTCGTCTCTGGCCTCTCGGTGGATGAGCAGAATGGTGAAATATATGACATAGAAGTAAGGCAGAATATGTGACATTCCTAGGGAAAATAGTGGAATAAACTAATTATATTGGAAGTATGATTTGTCTTACATTTCCTTTTATTTATTTTGATGGCAAAACATGGATAGTTTAAAATACAATGGCAAACAGCTAAGAAATTTGTATTTAAAGAGTGATAGTTCAACAAAAGAAAGAAAAAAAAAGTATCATTACTCACTGGTTAATCTTAGAAACAAAAATTAAGATATTTTGGTAAACATTGTGTTGTGCTCTGTATGTGTGATGATCATTGTTTAGATGTAAATTTCAAATAAAAGCCTAAATAAATCTATTCATCATATAGCGATCTTATTTATCACTAGACTTGAATATAAACCGCTCGATTCAAATATATTTCTTTTATGTTAAGTTTTGGTTTCCAGGGTAGGGTTGCACCAGCCGTTTGTAAGATCTTTCTCAAATTGTAATGTAAAGTCCACACTATAGGCTTAGTAACTACTAGTTTGTAAATAACTCTGTACTTTATTCCATAGCACCATTTGTTTGTAAAGCAGAACATAGCTAGTATGTCGTAAACTCTTCATAAAGTAACGCGTAGTCGCATAATATGACATTTTGAACCAATAGCAGCCTTCAAATACGTGAGCAGAAGTTGTGTTGAAATGCGATGAATTTCCGTTTATCCTTCATTCTAACAATTTTTGCCTCATGTTACTAACGGTAAAAATAAGTTTCTATTTAATACGATACTTGATCATGAATAACATGTTTTTATATATAAATAACTATATTTGACATTAAATAAGTATCAATGAATAAATATTGATACAAAAAACTAGAAATTACATTTATTGATAATGACTGATATTTGACATGCTCAACATGGAACGGTGCACACAGCGACGCTGTTTAGGATGGATTCATGTTAAAGAGCCGATAACAAAGTAATCTTTTCACATAATGTTTTCTCTCTTAAAATGTAAGCGAGTGTACATGTCAGAATTATCATATATGTCTAAAGAACTGAAGTCTGTCAGGTAAAAGAAGAGCTTTTTGATGCAGTTCATCTATCTGACATTTTATTCCGACCGTTACTCCTGATCGGAGGCTGCCATAAATATTTAGTTGGAATGTAGAGTTACATTTAAACTAATTTTAATGCTGCAACGTAAAAATATTTAGTAGTGCGCAAGTTGTAACTTAGTGCCCATTTTTTGTCAAAACTAGGCTTAGTTGTAACTTGCGCACAGCTGGTGCAACCGGCCCCTGGACTTTCAAGTTGTAAAGTTGTATTGGTTTAGAATGACATGATGGTGAGTAAATGATGGCAATTTGTAACAGAAATGTTCAGCATGTAACTGAAACGAAGGACACCAGTTATTAATAATTTGTTCATCACTCACCACAAGGCAGGGACCAGGCCAGGGCCATGAGAAGGTCCCCCAGGTAGTTTGGATGCCTGACAAACCCCCACCACCCTGACACCAGTAGCCGCTTTCCCGTTGCTGTGGCAATAGTTTCCAGGTCTGCAAGTGAAAAAGGGTGGAAGAGAAAATTAATTTATATACGTGTTCACTTGATTCAAACTCAAAGTTTGTATTAATGCGATTACTGACGTTGTACACTTTTATGTGTGGGATCTCTCCTGAACTGGTTTTTCTGAGAGTTGGACTTCCGGAAAATGAAATAACCCATTACTGTGAACGATTGAAAAGAGGAAAGTTAGAAACTGTTAAAACGCTCAGATTGCTGCAAAACAGGCTGTAGATTACCATTTAGAACAATAATCCCTGCTGCTTCAAGAGTACTGAGTGACTGTGGGTGCACGACCAGAAACATGGCCTGAAGGCCATATGTGAAGGGAACCCAGGCCAGATCGCCAAACGCCAACATGAACCCAAATCCATCATGCACAATGTCCATAGTAGTAAGCACAGCCTCCTGCAGATACAAGGAAAACTATAATGTTATGTATGTTACATATTCCAAACAGTTCCTTCCACCTTTATAAATGCATTTCATAAGTTTTCAGACTAGACTAGTTTTTGTCATACTTCATTCCACAGTGCATCTGTTACATAGACGAGCTGGAAGCCGTTGACAAGCAGCATGGCAAGAGATGGAGAGTCCCTCAACTCTACTTCTTTCATTAACATCCCCAGGTTTATTACCACCTGAAAAACAATGGCACAAAATAAAAAGAGACATAGGTAAAAATACTTTGGTGTTGTGCATTTTAAAGTTGCATAATCTGAACCTGCATGTTTACTTTCATTCAGCAAGGATGCATTCAATTACGGAAACGTATTGCGTTCACTTGAGGAAACAAAATCTACTCTGTTTTTCTGAATTAACGAGTTATCTCAGAATTATGAGAGAATTTTCATGGAAAAAAGATTTCACTCTGTTTTTACGAATTAATGAGTTACTCCAAATTTTTGAGAATCAACTCATTAATTCAGAAAAGCAGAGCAAAAACTTTTCCATGAAAAATTCTCATAATTCTGAGATAATTAACTTGTTAATTCAGTAAAACAGAGTAGATTTTTTTCTTCAAGTGAATGCAATACATTTCCGTATTAAATTGATCGAAAGTGACAGTAAAGACAATTGTTATAAAAGATTTATATTTAAAATAAATGCTGTTCTTTCAAAATTTCTATTCATCAAAGAATCCTGATCAAAAATGTATTACAGCTTCCACAAAAAAATATTAAGCAAGCAACACAATGGTGTTCAACATTGATAATAATAAGAAATGTTTCTTGGGCACCAAATCAGTTTTAGAAGAATTTCTGAAAGATCATGTGACACTGAATGATGCTAAAAATTCAGCTTTGCCATCAGAGACAAATTACATCTTAAAATAGTCATCTTAAATTGTAATAATATTTCACAATTTTACTGTATTTTCGTAATAATATTTCACCATGTGGTCAAATAAACCTGGCCTTTGAGCATAGAGACTATTTTCAAAAAGATAAAAACTCTTACCCAGCCTATTAATCCAGGTCTTAGTTCACAGAAATATTTCAAGTCAAAGTCTCCAATGCGAGGGTTGAGCTCTCGACCCATGAAGAAGTCATACAGAGGATTTCCTACAAATGACAAAGACACTGAATCGACCAACAGCAGCATATAGAATATCTGAAATAATTCTGCATCGAAGAGGTCAAGTCACTAAATGCATAGTGAAACATTACTTATAGATAATATAAAAAAATAAGTCTCAGAACTGATTATCTCACCTGTGTTTCCTCCAAGTGATAAAGCATGTTGAGGTGCCCAGAAAGAGCGGATATACAGGTACATGGACAGCAGGTAGGACAGCCCAATGGCACATACAGCCAGAGGCAAAATGAGCTCAAACAGATACCCGAGTGGCATTCCCAGCAAAACACATACTATCAACAGGGCAGCAGTAATGCACAAGGCATGGAAACCTAAGAAAAAATAAAATACTACAGGTCACATTCATATCCACACATATACACTACATTTCAAAAGTTTGGGGTCAGACAGTTTTTTGGTTTCATGGTTTCCATAAAAATATCAAGCAACACTGATGATAATAATAAAATGTTTCACCAAATCAGCACTAGAATAATGAAGCATATTATATTAAATTACATTTTATTTTATTTAGAAGCACAGTCCACATATAGGGGGAAATCAGACGAATGGAATTTGAACTTTACTTTGTATATCATAGGTGGTAAAAAGAGAAAAAAAAAAACAAGGACAAGGGGTCAAGGGCTAACCTGTTACAAATGTAAATCAGCCATTATTAGCATTATTTCTATAACATTTCAGACATACAGCCAGCCTATATTACCATTTATGGGATATTTCAATCTGGATCCATCTCTGAGGACCAATCCTTCAGAAACCTGTGAACAAATAAATTAATGTAAATTCTGACATTCTTTCTTCAGAAAATGATCTAATGACTTTCAAAGAAATGAATGATAGAGTATCTCACCTTTCCAATGGGCAGCAGGTAGAGAAAACTCTGCAGGGTGATCCAACCTACAACCAGAACCGCAGCCAAAGGGTCCCATAAATGTGCGGCTGGGGTTAAAGGAGGGGGCCACTGCAGGACACTGGCTTCTGGAGACCGGCACACACTCAGGAGGTACAGAACAGTCAGAGGCAGAAACACAGGGATGCAGGTGGCACCTGGACAGGCGAGGAGAACAAATTCTCTCAAATATTGCACAGAAGCCATGTAATCACACAGTAGATCATTATTATTACAGATACACAAACATATGTATATATATATATAAAACAAATAATGGCTCACCAAGAGTACCCCCAAATTCCCTTTCAGCTGAATGTAATGCTTTGTGCTTGTTCGGCTTCATTTTGCCTGTTTGGGACAAAAATTAGAGAAGAGGAGAGCACTTAGCATGGCTGACAACACATTCATTATACAATTTTCAATTACATTGCGTTTGTTAATGTAATGTGTGTAAAAGACGCATTCGTAATATCATGATTATTAATCAACCAAACAAAATATCAATATATACATAAAATATACATAGCGTGTTTTTTCTCTTACCTCGGTTTTCCACGAACTGTTATATTGTAAGTTAGCCGCTCATCATCACAATTAATGACTGAGAAGGTGACGCCTGCGTACTAGTTCCGCCCAGAACGCGCTGTTTGCATGTCCCGTCTCTGACCAATCAGCGCGTACCGCTGCTATCAGAAGAGTGGGGAGAGACAACCAGGGGACCAATCGGAATCAGAGTATAGCGGAAAAGCCCGCCCCTACTACTTTCCTGACCAATAGGGAGAACGCTTGCTCTGGCTTCATATAATTACAGTGCATTGAATAACAGCAGTAACTCCTCCCAAGACAAGGTTAGACGCAAAGTTCTTTTTGTGCATTACGTTTATTAAATACATACCATCCAGTTATTTAGATTGAACAGCCTTCAAAGTTAGTGAATACAGTAATCAACAATAAAATAAAAAATCCAAACATACCGATTTGTTTTATAAACAAATAATCTTACCCTTAATATATAGGGATTTTAGTTAAATTAATGGCTTTTACTGTTTAGATCATTTTGTAAATCCAGAAAAAGATCTTCATAATTGACCTTTTAGCACGCAATGTTCGCTCCCAAAAAAGTGCACTCTCAATCCAGCTGTAATAGGGTTCAATAGGAGGTCACAGACATTCAGTGTTTAAGCAACCAGATACAAGAAAAACTTCAAATATAAGTATTAATATAGTCCACTAATTGAGATCAGTTTCACCTATGTGCAAACTAGACTGCAGATTTAAGGAAAAGCACCCACTCTACCCCCTCTCACAGAT